ATAGCCAGATTCTGAGGGCTGTGCAGAAGGTCTGGAGGGTGGTGAGGGTACGAATCTCCACAGGGAGATCATTCCATAGGGTCGGAGCTACCACCGAGAAGGCCTAGGGTTGGACTAGAAGATCTCAGAGGTTCCTTTCAATTCTGTTATTTATCCATATTATTGTTTCACATCTTCAATGACAGCCCCAGGAATGAAATCCTTAACCATTTCAAGGAATCCAGAAGCCTTAGTTCCTCTCTGTTACATTTCTGTTCAAATAGATCCCATTTTCTTCACCAGAGACCCAGGATTACTAGACACACACAAGGGCTCAGCCAAGATGTTTTATTTTGGCACCAAGGCAGGCTTTTTTTAGTGCAGCCACCCTAGGAGGTGGCTATGAAAAGAGAGAAAGAAGTGACGTAGAAAGCTTAACCCCCCCGAGCCAAGATGGAAACTTAAGGCAGAAATACTGGACGCCTTTTCCCCTCCAGCGGTTGGATTAGAAAACTGTTCAGAGGATGATGGAATTCTCTGCAATCTGGTGGCTTTGGGAAGCATTTCAAACCCCAGATGGTCCTCAGAACAGGCACTGTCAATTTAATATGAAGTGTAAGACAGACGTGGCCAAGCAAAGGTTTGAAACAGCAAGGCATGTTGGGATTGCCAGCCCCAATAGATGGAATATCAGCTGCAGAACTAACCTAGTTAGTCCCCAGTCCCAGGAAACAAGATGTACATTTCAAGATTTCTTTCACAGAAGATTGCATGTGGTGAGAGTCCCAGAGCATTGGGCCCAAGATCAAAACAAAATGTCTCCCCAAAAAGCAAACCACGGTGAGATGATTGAAACAAACTGTGATGAGATGATTGAAGCAAACCATGATGAGGTGATTCCAGCAGAACAATAACTCCAAAGGATAATGGCGAGAAGGGATTGACATCAGCACAGCATGATGAAATGGGGCACATCCAATCAAGCAGGAGTCTCTATGGACAGACCATGATTCTGTTTGTCCAGAGAAACAGATGATGATGGGAGATTTTGCATGATTTTGACTGACTTCTGGGATTCTAGAAAAGTCATGGTGATCAAAGGCATTGGTGATATCCTTCAGGTGGTAGCAAGAGTTCCTCGCAATGATAAAGGAAGGCTTCAAGGTTTAACTGGAGTCTGTGCAAGATACAGGAAGTTGTTGGAAGTTGCAGCTAGGACTCCACGGCAGCTGATGTGGGTGCTATAAACACCCCCAGGCAGGTCATTAAGTACCCCTGTGCTCTGGAAAAAAGAAGAAAAATGAAATTAGAAGAGCCTTTAATAAACTATTTTTCAGACCTGGCAACTTTTAAGGTATGTGGATTTCAACTCCCAGAATTATCTGGGGAATTCTGTGAGTTGAAGTCCATATATCTTAAAGTTGCTGAGCNCCTCCAGGAGACAGTGACTCCACAGGGGTGATCGCAGCTTGCTGCTGGGGCCTTACATATGGTCTCCAAGACATCCCATCTGGAAATCACATGGAACTGGAATACCGAGACAGGATGGTCTCTGCAGCTGACTCTCTCTATCGCCTGGCTTGGGAGCAGGGGTCTGTTTGAGAAGCCGTTCCCATATCTAATATCCTCAATTCCTGGGAAGGCATAAGCTGAAAACTTTCAATAGATTGAAAACTGCTGCTTTCAAAATAAATTGTAGCTGTATTCTGTCTTGCTTTTATGAGCAGCAAACAAGTTCGGCATCCATTCCTATTCTGACACAAGAATGCCAGCAGTGCTCTTATTAAAAATAAATTATCGTAAATATATTTAGGTGCATCACCTTTATTAAAAAAGCTAATAATGAAGCCTAAAATTGCAGGTAACACAGGCAGAGGCATTACAAGGTGATGTTCATATTTTAGCATGGCATCTGTGCCTCCTTTTGAAGTTCAGGCAATCATGCTTTCTCATTTGTTTATTTTTTTATTTGTAGCCCCACAATTATTGCTTTTACAAAGAGGGCAGTATATTTACTGCCTTGAGCTATTTGTAAAAATAATGACAGGATAGAAAAATAACTAATGGTCCTCTCACAATAACATTCCTGTAAACTGACTTGGGTTGAGATAGAGTGACTGGCCCAATTCACCCAGATGGCTTTCATACCTAAGGAGAGAGAAGAATTCACAATCTCCCATTTTCTAGCCTACTGCCTTAACCACTAGATCAAACTGGCTCTTCAGTTTGGCTTTTTAGCCAGAGCCCTTTTTAAAAAAATGTGCCTATTCATGAACTAAACAATTGGGAGCATATTTGGAGTTCTGTGGTGTTGGCAAGTGTTAAAGCAACAAGCCTGGATGGGAAAGGGGAATATGCAAAGTATTTTAAGGATGTTCTGTCTTTTGTCTCATCTAATCAATATCTTGTTGCTTTCTGATGCATCAATTTTACAATTAGAAACCCCACCCCGCAATAAACATGTTTTCACTTTGCCTGAAGTTCTTGTGATATAGTGCGGGGGGGGGGGAGGCATGAAAAAGCTACTTTGCAAAATTAATGTCTCACAGGTTTAGAGATCACTTTCTTGTCATCCATGCCACTTTGGATGCCTGAGATTTAAAGGCAACACCTGGATCTTTAAACACTGGGCTGTTTACCAGACCATAGAGGTGGCAGGTCCAACCTCATAAAACAGCCCAGGCTACAGGACACCTGAGCCAGCCTGTCTGAATAAACTTGCATAACAATGTTCATTGGCAAGGTTTCATTTGTCAGAGCTTACCCCTGGACTTTGACTTTGCTTGGACTCTGGAATAGTCAGGGCATTGACTGGCATGAAAAATGCTGAAGCAGCAGTAAATGGGGCAAAAGGAGGCAGGGCAGTTGCTGCAAAAAGCTGCTTGGAAGAGAAAACAGGAAGTCTCCAGCATGGAAGATCTATAAGGAACAAATTGTTCACCTCTCCTCTTCAAAACCAGAATGCTTTATGTTCCTGAATCTAAAGCAGCTTCACTGGGGCATCCTCACATTTTTAAAAATAAAATAAAGCAAAGCTATAAAATTCAACAGTTTTGAAATATTCAATCTCTGCCTCAATTAAGAAGTGGTAAACTCTAAGCCTGGTGTGCCTCCTTTTTAATTCCATTGTTTATCTCTGCTGTGTTTGGGGAATCTCTTGTTCATTTTACCAGTCATGATTTATATTTAAATCATATTTAAATTGAACCACTGCGACCCTTTTTAATATTTCCTACCCTCCCCCCACCATTGTGGATTGGATCTGGATACTTGAGAGACCGCCTGCTGCCAATTNCTAGCAGTGTTTCTCTCTACCCCAGTGTTTCTCAATCTTGGCAACTTTAAGATGTTTAGACTTCAACTCCTGGAATTCAACAACATGTCTGGTTAACGAATTGTTGACACTAAAGTCCATATATCTTAAAGTTGCCAAGGTTGAGAAAGAATATTTTACGTGACCTTGTGGGTTTATTTTGAATTTTTTAGACTTTCCTCTTCTTTTCTGTCTTAAAAATTCATTCCTCCTCTCTTTCCTTATAGCTTATCCATTCCTTCCCCCTCCTCCAAGGTTAGCTCTAAATTTCTTTACAGAGAGAGTGACAGCATAAGGTTACACAGCAAATGTACAATAGAAATTATAACTAAACAATAGATCTTTTATCACCACTCAGTCAGAGCCACAATTAACAACAGTCATGTTATGGATGACAGTTATATTTTTGTTCACTTTTTGTACAATTTTCATTAAAACATTTAAACAATAAGATAAAACTAATACAAGCCAATGTAAAACATGGAAGAAAAAAGAAAAAGCAAAAAGTGCAAGAAAGATGTAAAACAGAAAAGAAAAAATGTAGAGAGATGACTTCCGATGTTTTTCACAACAATTATAAATACCAATATACTTTATCCTTTCTCTCGAAAGTTATATTATTCTATCATGTCTAATCATCACCAATAGAACTTAGACTTATATACCGCTTTACAGTGCTTTATAGCCCTCTCTAAGCAGTTTACTGGGTCAGCATATTGTCCCCAGCAATCTGGATCCTCATTTCATTAACCTTGGAAGGATGAAAGGCTGAGTTAACGTTGAGCCTGGTGAGGATCAAACATCTAGGAGTGAGCAGAGTCAGCCTGCAATACTCCAATTTGATTGGGTCTCTTGTTGATTGGTCGTTTGAATGGTCTTCTTAATGTATTAATATGCTGGATCTACATCAGACCTATCAAATTGGCCCACAGGCCGGATATGGCCTGTGTAGGCCACACCCATCCCGGCCCCACAAAGGCAAAAAGCATGATACATCAATACAATACAATAGTAGAATTGGAAGGGACCTTGGAGGTCTTCTAGTCCAACCTCCTGTCTAGGTAGGAAACCTTATACCGTTTCAGACAAATGGCTATCCAACATCTTCTTAAAGACTTCCAGTGTTGGGGCATTCACAACTTCTGGAGGCAAGCTGTTNAGACTTGCAGCCCCACTCCGAATGGTATGATTGTTGTGTTTTTAGCTGTGAATGGTCTTTTTGTTCTGTAACTTTGTTTGTTTTCCCCCATCCCTTGAATTGTGAGCCGCCCTGAGTCCCCTCAGGGAAAAGGGCGGCATACAAATAAAGTAAATTTAAAAAAAAATAATTAAAAAAAACTAATTAAAATTAATTGTTCAACCAACTTGCCAAGCCCTTTTGCTATGCAACTCAACTGAGAATGGAATGGCACAGTGAATGTGGCCGTAAGTTGCCTAATACTTGCACCACGCAGAGTACACCAACATGTCAAATATTCTCTTCCTCTCCCTTCTGTTGTATAAACTGTGTTCCCCAGGAGTTCTTACAATCTAGATCTGTAGCCAAAGATGCAGTGGGTGGGTTGGGCTTTCTCACATATTTTCTTAACTCAGTTGTACAATTAGAAATCTAAATAAGCCCTTTTTTTAAAAAAAGATTCCCTGACTTCTTTATGAACCTTTGGACAGTGCAATGCAAAGTTTTCCCATTGACTTTGCTTGTCAGAAGCCAGTTAGGAAGATTGACTTTGGCAATCCCATGCTCGCAGGATAATGCAACTGTCAGAAATGCACAGTGGCTGACAAGTGCTATAACCACAATTATGTGACTGTAGGGATGTTGCAATGGCCATTGTCTTTATTCAGCAGTAGTTCTAACTTTGAAGGGTTGCTAAGTAAAGGGCCATAATTCAAAGACTTCTTGTATATCAGCATTTCAATACTATTGAAACTAAAAAGGTTTTCCTGTGTGTGGGTTATTTCCATATGGAAGGGGAAATCGGTTCCACCACAAAACCGTGGACGACAAAATCGCGGTCGACGAAAGCGCGCATTTGACATCATCACAGCGCGACGAAAACATCACGCTGTGATCAAAAAATGTAAAAATAAAGCGAAAACCTTACCCTAACCCCCCCAAACCTAACCCTAAACCTAACCCTTAACCTAACCCTAAACCTAACCCTTACCTTTATGTGAATCGGCTTGCTTTAATTTTATTTTTATTTTTCAATTTTTAATTTTTTTCGTTGCGCTGTGATGACGTCAAATGCGCGCTTTCGTCGAGCGCGCTTTTGTGGACCACGGTTTTGACGGGTCACGGGGGAAATCAACTCCTCCATCAATTGAAAAGTGATCTACAGAGATCAGATTGATTGTCTACTGGCAAACCAGACAGTTTGGTGTGACAATTGAGGTACTGGCCTAGAAAGCAGGAAAATGTTTTAGTCCAGAGTTTCTCTCATTTCTCGGTATCAGATAACTCCTTTGATCTGGAAAACCTTCTCTCTAATCTCCAAGGTACCAATGGGTGCTGTGATTGCCCAGTGGTGAGGGAAATGCACCTTGTGCCCTATCTAACAAAATGAAATTCAGCATAGAGAAAAGTAGACTTTTACACTTAGGCAAGAAAAATCAAATGTACAGCTACAGATTAGATGGAACATACAGATTAGCAGTAACTGTGAAAGGGACCTTGGAGGACAGTCACTTAAATATGAGCCAGCCATGTGCAGCAGCAGCAGCCGCCAAAAAAGCCAACACAATCCTAGGTTGCATTAACAGAGAGATAGAATCAAGATCACGGGAAGTGCTAGTACCACTTTATAAAGTGAGAACAATTAACCAAAGGAACGGCTTGCCTTCAGAGATTGCAGGTACTCCATCACTGGAGAAGAGGCTAGACAGCCACTCTCCTGCTTGAGCCTAGGGTTTGGAATTTTGGAATTTGGAAGTTTATTTATATGCCNTATTTGTTTATAATATAAAATATAAAAAATACAAAAACAAATAGGAAAAATAGGTGAGGGAAAAGTGAAGAGTGAAGAAAAGAAGGGAAAAAGAAAGAAAAAGGCATTGGCTTCTGACTCCCTTGGTGCAGTAAAATAAGATAGTAAACATCAAACCTCAACTTTTGACTTTTACATAGTAGTATAAACTAGCCATTTCTAAATCAACAAATCTATCTAATTGGTAAAACCCAAAATCAAAGTTTCATTTTTTACCATCTCAAGCAGAAAGTCCAGAAATGATTTCCAAGTAAAAACAAAAGTACTTTTTTTTTTTTAAATCAAAGCAGTCTGCTTACTCCAACAACTTTTGCAGCCATTCTTCCATTGTGACGATGGAAGTGTCCTTCCATTTTTGAGCTGCGGCTATGCAGTTGAGATCTCTCTCAAACACACATATATGTAACATATATGTGTCATATATGAAAAAGAGGCAGAGCTTCAGTTGCACGAGTGTGGCCGTGTTCTTCACTTTTTTGATTGCCCCTCTAGGGACAACCTTAGTTTCTGGAACTTTCCCTGCCTGACACTGACCTTAATGGCTCCAGTACGTAATCCTGCTGCAACTCTGGTCCCATCGTTATTGAACTGACAGCAGAGAAGCTGATCTCCACAGTCTCTGTTTGGGAAGGATGACCAAAAATATTCGCATTTAGTAGCTTTCCTCTTTTGTCGCTGATGATAATAGCAATGCTAAAATCCAGGAACCTCCCATTTCAAATTACAGAGGTTGAAAATCCAACATATTTGCAAGC